ACACTGGGGAGGCAGACAGGCAGGTGGGTCTCTGAGTTCGAGACCACCTGGTCTATAGGTCAAGTTCCAGGACAGCCAGAACTGTTACACAGAGAAACCCCTCTTGAAAATCCAACCCCCCAGCCACACACACACACACACACACACAAAATGTAAAAATAAAATGGCTAGGCATAGTGGTTTACAACTTTAATTAGCACTGGGGAGGCAGATCTGAGTGAATTCAAGGCCAGCCTGGTCTACATGCAGAGTGCCAGGCTAGCCAAAGCCACACAGCAAAACCCTGTCTCAAAAACAAAACAAAACAAACAAACAAAAAAACCAAACTGCAAACAAGAAAAAATAATTAAGTGAGAAATAGGTCAATTATTTAAGGAAAACCATGTACAGAGTTGACTCTCTGGGGCTTCCCAATATATTACTGACTCCAAACAAAAAGGACAGAGAAGACAAAACAGACCTTGTTTGTCCATTCCTCTATCAGCAAATGCTGTCTGAACTGCCTCAGGAATTGGGTTCTTGTCAATAAGAAGCCTAAAAAGGCTTATTGGAAGGCAATCATCTTTGTTGTTGCAATATTGGGGAATGAACCCAAGGCTCCACGTATGCCAGGCAAGCTCACCACCACTGAGGCTGAATTTATTCCTAGCCCCTGAGAGTTGTGTTCTAAATGTGAGCATAGCACTTTGCCAACTGAGGCTCAGGTATCTAAGGCTTGTACAGGAGCCATCCTGTTCTCATTCCTCTTTTTTTTTTTTTTTTTTTTTTTTTTTTTTAAGGTTGTTCTGGAGCTACTCTGGGCTCTGCAGACTCCTTTTCTGCCACCCTGCCACCCTTCAGAGCCTCCACGGAGCCTGAGATGCCAGTGGCTCCTGCTATCTTTGTTTCTCTCTGTTCTCATTCTAAAACACAGTTTCTACTCTAAAATAGTTGTCTTTTTAGCACTGGTTTGGGAGTCAGAGCTACCTGGTTTGTTCCATTTCTGTTACTCAGAAAAATCTGAAAAGAGGTGACACAGAAAGGCTATACAGGGAAGGGTAGTTATGACTCAGGAGACTGTCATAGCATTCCTAAGCTGCAGTGGTACTCTGTTAAGAGAGTTGAATTAGATTTTATATATACATGTAACGTATTAAACACCCAGCATGTTCTTAATGAGGCTTACTTCCTCATGAAACTGAGTAAGCTGGGAGGCTGCCTCAGGGAAATATGGTACTAGGCTGCAATCCCTGTACTGTTTGTTACAAACGAAATCCTTTAGGACTTTAATTATGACAGTAGATAGAGCTGGTCTGTACCAAATGTAACACACCAGTAAGAGAGAAAACTTACCAATATTTTAACTTTACTTTTGTCAAGTCATAAACTTCAATCACCTAAAAAATAAAACATTGTTTAGGAGCTATAAATGTTCAAGTTGATAAAAAGGAAGATGTACTTCAGAGACTATGACAGGAGGATCCAAGGCCAGCCTGAGCTACTTGAGACTCTGTCTCAAGCAAAACATACTCCCCAAAAACAAACTTGAGAACACAGCTTAGCAATATAATATATAATATAATATAATATTTTTTTTAAAGATTTTATTAGGTATACATTTTGCTTCCATGTATATCTGCACACCAGAAGAGGGCACCAGATCTCATAAGGGATGGCTGTGAGCCAGCATGTGGTTGCTGGGAATTGAACTCAGGACCTCTGGAAGAGGTCAGCACCAGTACCCCATGCCAAGATTCTCCTGAAGCACTGCATGCAATCTTTTGTTCTCATTTAGGAAGAGCCATGTGTGGTGTTTCATATCTTTATCTACTCAGGAGGCTGAGGAGGATAGAGGATCCCTAGCTTGAGCAAATCAAATAGTAAGACTCTATCTCCAAATAAAGAACAAAACTAGGAAGAAAACCACAAATCATAACCTTGTTCCATAAACTTTTCTTTGAGATAGGATCTCACTCTGTAGCCCTGGTTGTTCTCCAATTATAAGGTGTATGGTGCCACACCCAGCCATAACTTCCCCTCTTCTAGCAGTGTTCAAGCGCTGATTGTGGATGCTTTTGATCACTTCTGAGTCATACTGGAACACATTCTACAAGACAATGCCATGTCCAGGAAACATATCCACCCAGCTTGTTGATGCCATGTGTTCAATATCAAGACCTTTTCTTCTTTCACAACATAATTTTTTTTTTTGTGGGGGGTCTCCCTATGTACCCCTCAATGGCCTGGGACTCACAATATAGACCAAGCTGTCCGTAAACTCGGAGATCTTCTTTCCTCTGCCTCTCAAGTGCTGGGATTAAAGGTGTGCACCAATATATCAAGTCCCATGCTATAACTGACAGATTATAAAGAACAAAAACCAGCTGGGTGTTGGCACAGGCCTTTAATCCCAGCACTAGGGAGGCAGAGGCCAGCCTGGCAAAGTGAGCTCCAGGACAGTCAGGGCCACAGAGAAATTTTGTCTTGAAATAAAAAAAAAAAAAAAAAAAAAAAAAAAAAAAAAAAACAAGACAAAACAAACCAACTCCACAAATTAGCTTACTTTATTTATAATATAAAATGATGGAGGAAGAGGTCCATCAGCACAGAGCAAGTGTGAGAGTATTGGATTATATCCCTAAATGAAGGGGATCTGGTTGAACCTGAAGGTCCTGAGGGCCCTTGTGAAGTTGTCTCTTTAATAGGTTCAGCCTCAGATGAAATGCCAGGAGTCAGAGCGGAGACAAATGAAAAGGCACTGAACACTCAGGCATTACTGGTACCAAGTAATAAATACAACAAAGTCCTTGATCCTGTGATGTCATGGCGTGGCAGCCAACAACATAGCTGGTTGGGGGTTGAAGGTGCCATTTATTCCTCCAGTGGGGGATGGCACAAGCAGAGCTAGCTCAATGCCTGGCTTGTCCTGCTACTCTGAACTCAGATGTGGAAGAGGTTGTGGGAAACATCAGCAACCACACTTTTAAAGAGAGGGTTTTTCTCTGTAGTTTAGAGGCTGTCCTGGAACTCGCTCTGTAGACTAGGCTGGCCTCAAACTTGCCTGCCTCTGCTGGGATTAAAGGTATGCACCACCACACTGGTTCCTTTTCTTTTTTTTGAGACAGAGTCTCATGTAGCCCAGGCTGGCCTTCAAGTCCCTACCTAATTAGTCAAGGATGATCTTGAACTCTTGACCTTCATGCCTCTCTCCCCCAGTGCTGGATTTGCTACTACTCCTGGCTCATATGGTGCTGGGGACTGAACCCAAGACAGGCATTCTACTAATATATATTCCCAGCCCTGTTCCCTAACTTTTTTTTTTTAAACATTAGTACTGGGCTAGTGAGATGGTTCAGAGGGTAAAGGCACTTTCCACCAAGCTGGAGGACCTGAATTCAACCCACAGGTCCCATGTGTAGAGAGAATGACCTCTACACATATGCTCTCTCTCTCTCTCTCTCTCTCTCTCTCTCTCTCTCTCTCACACACACACACACACACACACACACACACACACACACACATACACACACAAATTTTTAAATAAAAAAGCACAACACTGAATCAAGTTAGAAACCTCTCCATTATTATGTCGATATTTTGATCTTTCCTGCTGGAAAGAACTGCTGTCTGCTAGGCCTTTATGGCACCTGAAGGAATCCTTTTCTTCAAACTTGTGTGAACTGTTCACTGGTCCCATTAAGCTATTTTATGGGTTAAGACTTATTTTGTGCAGGGAATGTATTAAGGCATATTGGGTAAGTCTACCTCATATGTAGCTACTTAAGGGCAGTCTGAAGCTTGTAAGTGTGGAAGCTGCTGCTAAGTGAGAGGCCCTGAAAAGGAAGATAGGAACACTGGCAATTCAGAAGGTAGCCAGGTCCTCTTCAGAATGCCCAGGCATGGTAGGATACCTTGCCAAACTGGCTGTCATTTTACTAAGGTCAGGACCTTATGCTGACAGAGAAGAGACTGTCTGCTTTCAGCCAGAAGCCCCGCTTGTAGAAGATGCAGGCATTCTCTGAAAGCTACAACCTCCCAGAAGGATCTCCAAGGAAATCCTTCCCATGCCCTATTTTCTCTTAGGAGCTCACTTGTGCTTGGAGACAGGAGCTGGGAAGCATGTCACCTTTTGGAAGGACTACTTCATAGCGTAAGCAGGAAAACAGCACTGCTGTGCCATTGAACCTCATGACTCTGAGGCATTAGTTTGGTGTCACATGATTAACCTGTGCAGTCCAGGCATTTGAAAACAGTGTATTACAAACATCCTGGACTGAACAGGTGCTGGCAAACTGCACACCAATTAAGACACCCCACACACCAGCAAGTTGTTTATATTTCCACAATGGGGTTACAGAATCAACTCACTACTGATAGTATTAATACCAAACCATAAATCCCAGAAGAAAATTTTATTTTCGATCTTCTAGGTCATACTGTCTGGACATAAGCCCGACTAAAATCTATAGTTAGGCTCCATTCCCAGCCCCTTTTAAACAAGATTTGGGTTAACTTCTTTATAGCATTTTTGTTAATACTCTTTCCCCTTCTCCCAGCAAGCTTCCCCAAATCTACAACACTCTCTTATTAGTCCTTGAGCAAAGGACAACAAAAGCTCTTTTCAACCACCCCGACTCAGTTTTATCTTTCTACCTACCTTTAGAGGAATAGGCACAGCTTTAGTTTTCTACACTGTGTTCTTTGAACCTAAAAAGTCTACACCCACTTATAAATTTCCAAAACACCTCACAATAGCACATGTTAATCAACTCTAGACAGACTGGACCAGCCAGATATGAAACTATAGTTGTCATTTATGGTTACCTTAAGTCTCTGATTGAAAGCATCAAACAGTAGTTTGATCCCGTCCTGAGTCAGGTTAAGGATGAGGTCATGGCTTAGAGGAGACTACAAAACAAAAATAAAACACACTTTGAACAACTGTTTTATTCACTAGCACCCACTGAAAAGCCTTACAACAAAAATGCAACACGGGGAATATGTAAGATAGTCCCTTTCCCCCAACTAATGAAGTTTGGAAGAAAAAGAAAAAAGAAAAAATGGTGCCAGTACCAGAATGCACTGTCTCTTACTTCTGACTTGCAACTCCTGCTTTAAAATGTTGGCTGAAAAAAAGCCTTTCCCTTTTAGACTTCAGTAGGAATACACGTGAGACACAGATAAAATTGAGTAAACAGGCCATGTTCTTGGGGCCCCAGGATGATATCCACCTGAATAGTTTTCTGACAACACACTAACAGGGAACATGTCTTGTGAAAAGCCTCAGGTTGGTTGTGTGCTGAACCCATGTTGGCACCCAGGCTCTCAGCACTATCCATAGCCATCACATACTTATTTTGAATATTTTGGACCAATTTCTTGGAATAAGAAACACCTGTGATCTAGAAATACAAAAGACAGAATTCAAGCTGGGTGGGCAGTGGTGGTGCACACCTTTAGTACTTGGGAGGCAGAGGCAGGGGTGGATCTCTGTGAGTTCGAGGCCAGCCTGGTCAACAGAGGGAGTTC